TGAGCTAATCCACTGGCCACTCTGGGAATGCAGAGCTCTCCAGGTTCACTTTATTTTCACTTTTGCTCAACTGCAAATATATTTAGCCATTACAGGTTACTTTGCGATATACAATGTTATTTGTATAGCTTTTTCACACTACTCATTGTTTCCAGGTAGCTTTACAGAAAATCATGATATTAATCTTTATAATATCTTTATATCTCCATGACTTGTAGTTGCATTTTGCATAATTTATAATAATATAGTTCGCATTTTGCGATGATAAACAGTCAAGCTGTTGAGATTTGCTATATAGTTTGTATCACTTTATGTGAGTGAAGGCTATTGTGTGTTTGCGAAAAGTTGGATGTAAATATAGTATTTGCAGGTTAGAGTTGATAATGTGGTGATCATGACAATATCAGAGATGGTTCTCACTGCGGAACATGAAATCCACGGGGAGGAGTCAGATCCAGATCCAACTCCTCCCGCCTTACATAGACCTAAACCTACCCAACTCTGCCCCCTGATCCCTAAACCCAACCCTAATCCTACCCATCCCCACCCCTTGGATCTTGATCCGACTCCTCCCTATGGATCTCATGTACTGCATTGAGGTGCTACTGCAATATCATGTAGCTACAATGGGATTAACTAGCGATGCCAGATTCACGAATAAATCTCTATTGAAATGTTCTGAAATAGGTTGTGACTTCTTGAATCATTTGCAGTGTTTAAAAAAAAACTGAAATGAATGAATGTAAAAAAACTGAAAACAATACTGGCGAATGTCATCTATCTGTTGTCAGTAATTGCGCATGTTGCATTCTGATGTTTCCCCACGGCTTGCAAACACTGCGAGACTGGAAACGCTCCTGGTTTAGCACAAAGACAACTGGAGTAATACATGACTTGTCGACACTTGTAAACACAGACAACAGGCAGAACCGGTCGACGAGTCACCCACATGTCACCCACAGTAATAACTTAATAATTAATATGTTAATTACCAGAATGAGCCAAAGCTTTGTATTTCAACTTCCAGATAATATGACAGGTATACTAATATTCATTAATACATGATTAATTACTTCATTGTTAGAGCAAATTTATGTGCAAATTACCAAATTACTAGTTAATAATGATGTGCCTCTACAAGTAAAGTCATAACATGTTAAGATTAATTAAAGCAGACAACTGGAAGTTGAAGTGCATAGCGTTGACCAATTGTGGTAATTAACACATTAATTTACACGTTTAGTTACTAAGAAATTAGTACACAATGACACATTGAACTAATAGCAGTTTTTTTTTTTTTTTAAATTTAACCTTTATTTAACCAGGGAAATAATCACATTGAGATAAATATCTCATTTTCAAGTGAGCCCTGGCCAAAATAGCAGCAAACAATATACATAACTACATAAAACAGATTACACAACACACACATATACACATAGGCGGAGTTTGACATTCGAGCCAGGGGGGGCAAAAAAAAAAAACAAAAAAAAAAAACATGCTAAATAAACACATATTTATTTTTATCCCAAGAAAAAACAGTAAAACAATACACTGATATTTTATTGCCTTTATGTCATTGTAAACAGCTAGAACTTCGCATTAACAGCCACTTCGCGTCGCATCTTCGTTATAGGATCATGAAATGTGGACCACTTTTGCACTGTTAAAATATTATCTTCAACCTTAAAGTTTTCTTTCCTTTTTTCAAAACACATTCTGGCAATGATAATGATTAAAAAACTAGTTAAATTTCGCATTTATACTTCATGAATCATTGAAAAAATTTTAAGACACGGGATTAGGCTACCTATTGGTTTTGATGAGGGGGAAAAAAAAACTTTACGAGTGCGGATTAGAACCTCGAACCTCCCGAGTCCTGGATCTGGACCATCACTGTATACACGAAAAAGGGAGTATATACTTTATATACTCACTATACACATGAAAAAAGTGCTATACTCTGACATTGTGCTCATTTTTATTTATGCAATAAAGGGCGTATATACTTTATACTCACTATACTCGGACATTGTGCTCATTTTTATTTATGTACATCAGGAGCTACAGAACATCGTCTTTCAAAACATGACCTACTCGAAAGAGAGAAAAAGAATGAATGCGTACCCAGCACTTGTGAAAATGCCCTTTCGAGTACGTCTCTGTCACCAGCACATTTCAAATTGACGCCCATTTATCGCAGAAAAGCTTCTCTCAGAGTTAGATGACACAATCGACCGAGTGAGCGATAACTTAAAGAGATTGGGGTTGGTAGTTTTTTTACAGCTTTTTTAAGAAAATGCGATTACCCGTTTCAGCCACCGGGGGGGCAACGCTCCCCCTGCCCCCCGCAAACTCCGCGCCTGCATATACAACAATAAAACAAGATTAAACGTTAAGAGCAAGTGCATACAGGTTTGAATAATTTGTTTAAATGTAACTTGAACTCATTTATTGAAATAAGTTCATCAAGTTTCAATGAACTTTGGATCTCATTCAGCTGATGCGCTATAAATAAAAGCAGTTTTTCCAAACTCTGTCTTCATTAAAGGAACATTTAAAAGAATATATGTACTTGAACGTAGATTATTTGGCTATTAAAAGTTATTAAACTATTCATATATCGAGGAAGCTGGCCGACTAATGCCTTGTATCCAAGTGTGAGCCACTGTTTGTACCTTCTTATGTGAAGTGAAGGCCAACCTGTGATAGTGAGTGTGATATTTTGTGCAAGTTATAAATCTTAGAGCAGAGTGATAAACAGAATCTACTGATTGTAAGAGAGCTTTAGAAGATATTTCGGTCCCACTTTATATTAAGTGGCTTTAAGTACTATGTACTTACATCGAAAAATAAGTACAATGTACTTATTTTGTTCAGATTGTATTGTAAAACACTTTTGTTGCTATTGAGGTGTGATACGGGTAAGGTTAGGGTTAGGTGTGGTTGTATAGGTCGGTTTAAGGGTGGGTTAAGGTGTAAGGGAAGGGTCAACTGTGTAATTACAAATGTAATTACATTTATTAGTTACAGCTGTAATTACATGCAGGTATTTTCAAAATATAAGTAGTACAATGTAAAAACATGTATGTACACAATAAGTCCAATGTATCAAAGTATTAATTTCAATGTAAGTACATAGTACTTAAAGCCACTTAATATAAAGTGGGACCGATATTTCTGTAAAAAACATCTCCATAATCTAAGATAGGTAAGAAGGTAGATTCCACCAACTTTCTCTTGGCTGACTGTGGGAAACATGCACTATTCCAAAAATAAAACCACAGCTGTAACCTTAACTTAGACAGCAATTGTTTAACATGTAACTACTTGAATGATAAGTCCAGATAAGAAGATAAATTATTGAATGATAATTCATGTATTACTTAATCTATTAATCATATAGACTCTTTATTAGTTGCTGATGCAGTAATCGTTAATTAATGGTTTAGTTCTTCATTAGTTATACATTAAATCATGATTATCTGTGCATTAGTTAAGAATGAATTAATGCATGCGCCCGTATTGTTAAGTGTTACCATGTACATATAAGAATTATCTTAAACGGTTTTCAGGGAAATTGTGATCACGCAATGTTTGCACTGTGTTGTTTCCCATGTTGCTATTAGTAAGATAGTGGACTGACAGGTTCATGATTGGGTAATCAGAGCTGAACCTGGGCATATACATTCCTAACATTACTGGGTGTGTGTGTATGTGTGTGTGTGAGTGTGTTTGAAGAGAATGTTTTAGATCTACATCAGCTTTGTCCTCAACATGGACAAAGCTGATGTAGCATGTGTGTATGCTAAAAAATATATCATTTTAAACAGAGATGAGCTCTGTAAAAATATGTTTTATTATAGTTTACTGCAAATAGACTAAACTTAATTCACTGTGTTTATGTCCAATGTATTTCAAATTGACAAAATTAAATGATCTAATGTAAAATACAAAAAAAAAAAAACCCATGCAAAAAATAAAATGCATAGTGTGAGTTGAGTTTCCGTACAGTGAAGTGTTAAGCACATGCCCCCATTACTCCAGAGCTTCCACACTGGAACGAGGGCTGTGGTGTGTGCATTGTTTCAGGGAGGGATGCAAGTGTATATCTAAAGATGCACACACACAGTCAGAGAGTGAGCATGAAGATGTGTGCTGGGTTATCTGAGGGACACACGTATCTGCACATAAAGAGTGATTGTTTTCTGCTTTATCTGTGCGGCCTTGTGACTGCACACACACACACACACATACTTGTGAAGGACGTCCAGCATTAAACGATGGCTCATCACATTTTATCTTGCTGATAGAAAAATCAAACATTAATGCAGAAATTAAGGTTTGAATGGATTAGAGAATTAACATGTGTGACATTGAGCTCACAGCAACACATTGCCTGTGGGTTTCTCACCCATCCAACACCACTACGCAAATAGATTCGGTAAAGTTGTTGCACTTTGCAGGAAGTATATGACAGTGTGATATGTGATAATATATATTATGTGAAACACCTGCATTATTTGAATTATTTGACTGGTTTTCAGAAAATAAAATAAAATTAAATTAAATTAATAGATAATAAATGTCAACAAAAATGTATAACTGAAATAAAATAGGTTTAAGTAAAAGTGTATTATAGCAGTATATTAAAATAACACCGTGTCACCCTCACCCTCATTTTTTTTCAATACAGTGAAAGATAATAATGATGAGGCTCAAGCTCGAAAAATGACAACAACAAAAAAAAAACTACTATAAAAGTAGTCCATATCTTGTGTCTTGTGTGCTATATTACCAGTCCTCTGGAAGCATGTGACACAAGCATGTGAGACTGAAACTTCAGATATTCATTGATACTCTTCTTACTCTTTAAAATTTATAATGAATAACTTTAGAATTATGATACTATTGTATGTGTTGTGTCAGTACAGTATGTACAGTATATAGTTATTCTAGTAGTAATAACACTCTCTCTCTCTCTCTCTCTCTGTCCTCAGTTAATGAATACCTGTTCATGGCTCAGGCCCGGGGGATCCAGATCCGGGAGAATGTGAGGAACATGGGTGCTCAGGTGCTGGAGCAGATGGTGCGCAGCGCCTACAACGTCAACGGCACAGGTACGAAGGGAATCGAGACACGCGGGCGACAGTAACGGCGTATCTTCACCGGAGAAACACAGCATGACATCCTTCTGAGACACATCAAAAATATATAAAAAAGTGGTAACTCTTTATAACACTGTTCCATTGTTAATGAATTACACAGGAACAGAAGAGTAATACACTATTAACGTTCTAGTAACTACTATTAACTAACAAGAAACTCTGATTAACACATCAGTATGTAATATCGCTCAGTAAATGTGGTAATTCACTATTAGCTATTTTGGTAATAACTACACGCTAATAATCATTAGTTAAGCATGAGTAAACCATTAATTCATCATTCATAAAGCATTAATAGACATTAATAAGCAGTTCATAAATACAGCTATAAATGCTTTCTTCTTGATTTATACGCATATCTATAATTTGTTTAATAATTGTATTTTCATCCTTTATTAATGATCAATTTATCATTTCTAAATGAAGAATTGCATTTTTTATGAGCCAGTTATTTAAGAGTTTTCAGTGGTTCATACGATTACTTACACTGAAAAAAATAATATGCTTTATCTAATCAATAAAATTGTGGCAACATATTACAAGCAATATTATTAATTAAATTGTACAAATTAGAATTAATTAGAATGTTAATTTGATTCACTATTACTCAATTCTAATTTGTTCAATTTAATAAATAATATTGCTTGTAATCTGTTGCCACAATTTTATTGATTAGATAAAGCATATTCATTTTTACAGTGTAGAGCGAGTAAGTGATTAATAAACTATTTAAATGTACATTCATACATCTTATTATTCAGACATATAGTGATGGTTAATTAATGTGTTAATAAATGCTTTATTAACATGTATTAATGCTGTAATTAAGGGTTAATTTGGGTAGTTAGAAAGCATTTAGTAGTGGTCAGTTAACTATGTTCGTGAGCTCATCTAAAGTGAGGACTAGTCATGCCTTGTAAAGCGTTTTTAAAGGCTGTTAAATATTTCTATGTTCTGTATCACTGCGTTGTGTTTGTTACATTTTACTGTTTAGAAGATTGACGAGTCTTTAAATCGCCTTTATAAATGCTTTACAAAGCATGAATAGTCCTCACTTTAGATTAGCTCACAAAAATAGTTAACTGACCACTACTAAATGCTTTATAACTACCTGTATTTACTACATTTACTTACACCTTCTAAGTGGTCTTATGAATGACTGACAACTCTTAAACAACTGGTTTGTAAATAATGCTATACTTCATTTAGAAATTATTAATTGATCATTAACAAAGTATGAAAATACAATCATTAAACGCATTATAGATATGCTTATAAATCAAGAAAAAAGCATGTATAGCTATATTTATAAACTGCATATTAATGTCTATTAATGTTTTATAAATGATGAATTAACTGTTTACTCATGCTTAACTAATGATTAATAGTGTGCAGTTATTATAAAGTGTTACCGCTATGGTTCATACCTCACTGAAGTCTACAACTACTATAGGTTCATAATTAATATTAATAATGCATCGTGTTTAATATAAGGTAATTAGTAATGAATCAAGTGTTACTAAACCCTTCAAAATGAACTGAATGAATTAATAATTTGGATCAGTATCTAATGTGAAAAGCTTCTGAACTGCTAAGTCACAGTAAGCTTTTGAGGTTTTTGTAAGATTTTGGATGGTAATGAATCAAGTGTTACTAAATATTTCTAAAGGAACTTCTTGTTATTTGGATCAGTAAAGTGGAGACCATGGGAACACACTAGTGATGAGTAAAGTGTTACCAAATCCATCAGAAGGAATCACTATTCAAAATCTGACAAAAATCTCAAATGCTTAAAATGACTTCAGTCCATATTAGTTATCATGTTTTTCACTTCCACACTTGAGTTATTACTAATGGGTTACCGTTACCTTTTATTATAAATGATGCATTATTCATGTTAATTATGAAATTGTATATAGACTTCAGTGAGGTATGAAAAAGTTGTTTAGCTAATAGTGAACTTTCACATTCATCTGAGCGCTAATCTGAGCTATGTGTTAATTAGAGTTCCTTATTAGTTAATAGTAGTAGAATATTAATAGTGCGTTACTCATTTGTTCCTGTGTAGTTATTCATTAATAAAGGAACAGTGTTATTAAGAGTTACCGAAAAAGTTTTTTCAATTCCATGCTCTGTAGAAGGAGACTTTATATTTTTCATTCATAAATCAAGGCAGCTTTTAAGCCAGTATACCTGTTTAACAAAGTACTAAGCGACATTGATTTGATGAAAATGATTAATAAGATGTATGTAAAGGATGTGTTGAATAGGCTTTAGGACTCAACCCCAGTCCCCATGATCCACCTCCCAGAAGGTGTTGGACGTCTCACTAATTAAACCCCTGATGGACTCCTCAGACGCTCAGCATGTTGAATTGGGAGACGTCTGAAACATCCTGGGTTGTGGATCCTGACTGGAGGCTGACATCAGGATACGCCTGGCTTCATGGACGATAGTGTGATGTTTATAATGCACTGATGCATGAATGTGTGATTCACTCGTTGTTTTTTAGAGTACACGTATGAGTTTAACTTCAACGAGACAGAAGTTCCCACCACTCCTTTCCTCCCACTGGACTTTACATACCGGCCAGATCATGTGTGCCCAGAGAAGCTGCCCTCCATGAGTAAGTGCTCACTTCCCAGTTTAGTAACAGCTTTACAAAACACAATGTTCATGTTAAAGCTGCAGTCCGTAGCTTTTCTGGGGGGTTTAAAAATTAACCAAAATACATATTTGAGAAAATACATAACCAGTCAGTGTTCAAAACTCCCTGCTTGATTCAAAACAGTAAACTTGTAATACTTGTAATGTTTTTAATTCCAGTAGTACTGTATTTCTGCGGGAGTTTCAAGCATGTCTTTGTGTCATTATTTCTGTACACACACATCTGTACACATAAAGAAGGAGTTTCAGCTAGTATAAGCTATATTGAGTTATCACGTCACATCTGTACACATAAAGAAGAGTCTCGGCTACACAGTAAAATCTCCAGTGTTAAATTAATACTGAAAAGGGTTAATTATATAAATGAACACTGAAACAGTGTTAAAGTTAATGAGATAATTAAGTGAATAATTGAGTGATGATTGAGCATTATTAAAGACACCTGAAGTTAACAAACAGAATCACTGAAGGAGAAATCCAGAAATTTCAAGTCACCATTATGGTGATCAGTGTTTGCTTTAGTTTGGCTCTTGGCCCTTGATTCATCAACTTCAGATTTTGTTTGGCTGCAGTACATGAGTTAATACAGCCAGCTGAACAAATAGAAAAGGTGATCTGATGGTGATGGTTGCCACAAATTCTGGGTGCCACCAATCAAAACTCATTCATAGCTCCCATCATGCATTGCTGCATGAATAAATAATGAGCTTATGTTCATATTTGATCTGTTTGTCACCATTGCTGAGATTTGTATGGAAATTCTTGATGTCTGTGTGTGCCCACATAAAAGATTTTTTTTAGTTTTTATTTGATCGTTTGGATTTCATTGAAAAGGCTAAAAATGGTATGCTCTAAAATCAATGTGCTGCTAAAATCCATAAGGTAAATTTAACTTGATTCAGGTCAATTATTGATTATGTTAAAACACAACCAACACCATCACATCACCTTTTCTATTTGTTCATCTGGCTGTTATAACTCACATACAGCAGCCAAACAAAATCTAAAGTTATTGATTTAAGGAAGAAGAGCCCAACTAAACCAAACACTGATCACCATAATGGTGACTTAAAAATGACAGTTTTCTCCTTCAGAGATTCTGCTTGTTAATATCTTCAATAATGCTCAATCATCACTCAATTATTCACTTAATTATCTCATTAACTTTAACACTGCTTCTGTGATCATTTAACACTGCTTAGAGTTTATATAAATCACACTCTCAGTGTTAATTTAACACTGGGGATTCTGCTGTGCAGTAGACTATATTGCATGTGAGGATGCTGGAGGTGGAGAAATATAGCCTTTTCTCACAGCACTTGATATAATTAAACTTATCAATTTGATCGGGGATCCACAAAGGTTCAAACAACAATCACCAGTGTCCACAGATTCACCCGCTGTAAAATGCAAAAGACTTTGTTCAGACTTCGGAGTGGCTAGAGAAAAAAAAAAAAGAGACTGCAACCGGCCCATGCAAAAACAAGGATAATATCGGAAGGACATTACATGTAGTCACACAATGCTGATGTTGTTAACATTAACAATTTGAGAACAAAGTATAATTTGAACGGTTTTGCGTGATATGATAAGAGATTGTTAGATTTAATCAGCACGATTTACTGCAATGTCAGAACCAGAACAAAGGTGATGCACTGCTCTTGGCAGATCGTGTTGGTCATTAATGATCCGCTGCATCTGTGTTCATCAGAACTTCACAATGCCTTTGGCACTTTTATTGGATTGCGTTCTCACGTTAACTTGCCCCATTTAGTCAATCTGACCCGTGATAAACACACTTCTTTTTCTTGACACTTTCAATCAGTGAGATTTTAAAAACCATTAGTCAAGTCACCTTCATTTATATAGCGCTTTTAAAAATACACTGTTATATAGTAATAATATACTATTTCAAAGCTGCTTTACAGTGATAATAGCAAATTAAAGTAACAGAGATTGTTTAGGCTTTACAGCAGCTCTAGAATAAAGTTATTGTCCAGCTAAAGTTAGTTTTGATTGATTCTATATAGGTAGGAGCGTTTGAATATATATGTGCGCAGTCTTTCTTTACAAATTGACTTCGCCAAATTACTGGTCTGGCCTGGTATAACACAGACGTCAACTAAAGACGTTTCTGTGGATCCATGCGAACTGGAATCAGTTTGATAATGTTTTAGGTAAAGAGTAATGAGAGTAAATCATAATAGTGGATCAGTGAATCAGACTCCTCTGTTTGCGCTTTGTGTTTGCTGATAAAAAAAAGTAGACCATGAAGATCTATTAACAGAGCCGCGTCATGAAAATCATCCAGGGCGGTCTAATCTCACCCTGAGGGCGGTTATGTAAGGAATAATTGACTGAATAATGAATTAATGCACATAATGCACACAGGTTTTTGTCTTTGAAACACTCTTGTGTGTGGGACCAATTCACATCTCATCTCACGACACCATTGCTAATTACAAAAAGATATTTTAGATTTAGTAACAGACTTGAGCCACTGATACTAGCAGACTAATACAGTTATCAATGCAGTATTAGAGAGAGAGAGAGCCTCAGCATGTGTCTCTTAACTGTGTTCAGCACCAGCATCTATTAATAGTGGAACTGCGTTCATCTGCACCTCACCACTGAGAAACTTTCAATTTTTGAAAACTTTCAGAAACTTTCAAACTTTCGTCATGTAGATTTTAAGTTGCTAAACTATTTAACTGATAAAATCGTCAGAGCTGCACTGTGTGTTTGAGTGGGAGAGTAAGTGATATATGCTTTTCTTAGTCACTTATACATGCATAATACATAATAATATATAATTTTGTGGCACAAAACAATAATTAATACCTTCTGGAACTTCTTTCCCTGAAAATAATTGCACATCTTAGAACATTCGTCAACCAATCAGAGTCAAGCATTCAGCAGCCCCATAGAATAATGTGCAATAATAAACCAAACCAACATCCAATATGACTGTCATGGCTACCAAATCAAATAAGTACACTTGAAAATAGGTTTCCACAAGGTTTTGTCACAGAGCGTGTGTGTGTTCCTGGTGTCATCAGCTACATGTGTGCTTATAAGATCACATAAATATTTGTTGATTCTCTCCTCTGTCTGTCAGTGGGCCGGCTGAAGGTGAACATGAGTGAGATCGCTCTATCAGACGTGGAGAAGCTTCTGGATCGGGCAGATACGAGTCTTTCTCTCGGAGGACACTGGAAACCTCATGACTGTCTCCCACGCTGGAAGGTTAGTCACTTCGTAACCTAAAAAAACTCTCGGTTGCCTACTTTCTCTTCAGAAGTGTTGTGGTCATGCCAACCAGTGGAAAAAAGGTTGTTGCATGAAAATCTCTGTAACGAGATATTTGCTTCTTTCATCTGGTTAAAACTCTGTTTTTAAAACAGTGTTCATTGTGTCAGAGTGATTCATTTACAAGCAGCAATTGTTGCCAAGTTCATTTAAAATGCGTCATGCGGGAAGTACAAGAATATATATTTTCTTTAATTCCGTTGCTTCAATATGATAATACATTTTCCCATGGTTTCACAGATGAGCCTTAAAGGAGCTGTATGTAACTTTTCCACTCTACTAAGCATAAAAATACCATAATATGTTTGCATATATTGAGGAAACATGCTGAGATCACATACTCCTTTCTCTGAGAAACACTTCCAGGCCCGGTTATTTTACTGTGAAAAGTGTGTTTCCAGGCTGGAGTGTTTGTTTTTGTTTCGGTCTGTGATACTGCATGTTGCCAATTTGCATTGTCCATTGCGCTTGTTCCTGTCGCGTGTCCTCAAACTGCAACCCGTGTGAGCGTCGAGTCTGAGGAGGCAGGGCGGGAGAAACAACGATCTCCGAAAGGTTTTATTTGGACTGCAGTACCTATTTCCACCACTAGCTGCCAATCTTACAGACTGCACCTTTAAGGCCTGTTCACACCGGGACGAATTTCGCGCGCGATATTCGTCGACGTTTAACGCCTTGTGACTAAACAATGGGCGCCAATGTGAGTGTTCACACCGACGCGAAAAACGCCACGTGTAAAAGCGTCATTTTTTAAAAAACGCCTCGTGTTCGTTTTTTTGGTTTGATGCACCGCGTCAAAACCTATCCGACCAACGAGATTGGCGGGTTTGCTCACGTCTCTGGTACTTCTGAAGTTACAGTAAAGCACAACTTGGGGGCGCTCAAATTCAAAACGGTCTTGCCGAGCACACATACGCGGCGAAGAAGAGATAAGATACATGGGCAAGATGAATGTTGAGCTGCTGGTCTCAGAGCATAAAGAGCTATATGATAATATTTATATTAGTATTTCTGTAATAATAGTATAGTATAGGGTGACCAACAGTCCTGTTTTTCCGGGACATGTGTAAAACGGTCACTTTGTGCTTTATAGAAAACTAAGTTGAGATGAGAACTGCGCATAGTGTGAGTGTCAGTTAGATTTTGACAAGTGAGGAGAGGAGATAACCGCTCTGCCGACTCTTTGTATTCTTTCTTTTATTTTATTTTTCTATTGTGAACAGATGTTTGTTTGTGTTTTTTTTCCTCGCTCGATCCCCATGTATGAGGACGAGTGTAACGTTTGAGTGGTTTTATTAAACACGGGGAAATACAACAACTCGTCTCTCGTGCATCTGTTCATCCGACAACTAGTGCTATGTTTATCTCTGGGCAACATCTCAACTTTGCGTTACACATGTCCTGTTTCCACGTCCTGTCCTGGCTGTTTTTAAGTGATGAAAATGTCCTGGTTTTCAAAAAAAAACTGCTGGGAAAGATCAGTTCTACAGCAAAATATAGATGGACAAACAAGGTGGACGAGGAAGAAAAACAGGATAAAGAGGATGAAAACTAAAGATATAAATAGATTTTGTTAGTTGGTTTTTGTAAGTTTGTGAGAGCTATTTTTTATTACATTTGGAGGCATTTCATTTAGTTATTTATTATTTATTTATTTTTCTAATACAGAAGACATTATTTCTATCATTATTTCATTCGTTTTTTTAATCTGTCAGTCATAATAAAACATTGAGACATGAATATGATCACCCTAGTATAGTATTCTATTATTATTTCGGTTTTACATTAAGCGCCATCTAATGTCAGGGAATGAATTTGCATGTTCACTCGGCTCATCGTCAGCGAAAAACGTTTGGGTGTGAACACAAAAAACGCGTTGAAAAACGCTGACGAATAACGCGCGCTGATATTCGTCCCGGTGTGTACGGGCCTTTAGGCCTACAGTCACAGTGTGAAATGCATGTTTGAGCTGTTTTAACTGAAAGCATATCTTAAAATATAGCAGTGGCATTGTTTTGTCTCATTTTTCAGTTTTTTTCTAAAAGCTACTTAAATGCCCTAATTAATCTAAGGCCTAATCCTGACTTAATCTAAACCCTGTCTGTGAAAATGGGGGATATTATTAAATGTAGAAAATAAATAAAAACATATAAAATGCAGCATGGGCACTGAGTAATGAAGAAGTTTAGTCAGTGAATCAGTGTAATGACACAATTCATTGAAATGGACAACATAACTATTTCATGGAAATGAATCATAATTTATATTTGTGATTTTTAAATCAGATGCAACATTGGGACAGCCTTTAGAAAACAACAAATAAACATGAAATATATCTTAAATATTCACTGTACATCCCTAACACTCACACACACACACACACACACACGTTGAACACACAGGTAATTCAAGTGCTTTTTCTGAATTGATATTTCCTAATTTTTGCAGTTGTTTTTCCGATTTCATGTTTTAGGTGGCCATCTTGGTTCCTTTCCGAAATCGTTTTGAGCACCTCCCGATACTTTTCCGGCATCTGATCCCGGCACTGCAGAGACAGAGACTGCAGTTCGGCTTCTATGTCATCGAACAGGTGAGAGAATAACAGAGCGAGTGAATCTCGGTCTTTAGTGTCCTCGTTGCTTTACTAAACTCGCACATAAAGTTTTGGACTGAAACACCATTTTTAACCCTTATGCTGCATTAGGGACATTTTTGGTCTTTTGCAGTTTAATTTCTTTGACCATTTTGGCTGTTTTAATGCAAATGGTATGAAATTTGGCAAAATTGTGATTTTTTGGATACATGTAAAAAATGTGATCCCATTTTGCAAAATATGTATAACACACACTGTGTAGATCAAATAGTAACACTCAGCACCATAAAGACCAAAAATGGCCCATTGAAACCCATTAAAACGTTAAACAGATTTAAAACGTTTAAATCTGAGGCTGTCAGTAATACATGAAACATGATTTTTGCACAAACATCCTTTCATTTTGAAGCAAAAGCATTATATTTGCATTATATAGTGTATTCCACCAGATGACGTCACTACATATTTATTCCCTATGGGTGGAAATGCACCTTATTTTAGGCAATAGCCAAAACTGGCAATTAAAGGGTTAAAATCGTGAAATTGAATACATTTTTGGTAGTTATGATGAGGACTGATGCTGGTTAAAAGATTTAACTTGGTAAAAGTGGAAAATAATAATAATATATAATATTTTAGGCAATGTTTAATATGTGGCCATTTTTGGTCCTTAATGCACTCAACGGTGTTAAAAATCTAATGCAGCACAAGGGTTAAAAATGATTGACACATTCTGCTAATATATGCTTCTGCAAGATTGCCATTGTCATGGGCAGCACTAAAATAGCCTTGTTTCATTGTCAAACAGTCATTTTACAGTAAAGGACAGGAAGTAAATAGACGGATGTGTGTGTGTACAGGCCGGAAACGAACCGTTCAATCGTGCCATGCTGTTCAATGTCGGGTTCAAAGAGGCCATGAAGGACTTGAACTGGGATTGCGTAATATTCCACGATGTCGACCACATCCTGGAGAACGACCGCAACTACTATGGCTGTGGTGAAATGCCACGACACTTTGCGGTCGAACTCAACAAGTACTCTTACATGTAAGTCTCCACAATACACTTGTTTTCCTCACATGCCCTTTTGAAATGCTGTTCAAGTATGTGAATTATTCATCTCTGGGACATGTATAGGCTTCCCTATGAGGAGTTCTTCGGTGGTGTGAGCGGGATGACCGCGGATCAGTTCCGGAAGATAAACGGCTTTCCCAACGCTTTCTGGGGCTGGGGAGGGGAAGACGACGACCTCTGGCACAGGTACACGTCCAAACTCCTCACAAAACAAAATAGGGTTTTGCAACACTATGATCTCATGTTTTCCAAAGAGGTGGACAGGACTATCTGGATCCCACTAAATCTATAGTACAAAGTACATACTATAAAAGTAATTACTGACAATGGCTGTTAAAGCTGCTCCCAATAATCTTTTCCTCAATTAAGATGGTTTACAGATAAAAGATGAATAGTACTTTTAAATATGGCATAAACATATCTCCAGTCATATCTCTAGCCTAATAAAACTGTGTTATTTTAAATGGAGAGGGTCAGAGTTTCGAGATCACATGACTACTTTTACACACAAAAAAGAAAACCTATACTTTAAGTTCATTTCATCAGTATAGTGAATAGTATATTTTATGTATACTAAATATTTTATACTAGAATTAACTAAATTAAAGCATACTTTGCTTATAAATACTGTGTATTTTACCCCTTGCTGGTTTTACCCCATGTGTCTGTGAGGTAACCGCCCCCCTTTAGCCCCGATGTACTATGTATCTCGATCAAAAGATTAAGGACAAGTATGGGCCAAATACACGTTTCTGTATTCTTATCAGTATAAACCAAGGGCACTTATATAAATGTAAGTATATTTCATTTAAAAAGTCGACTGAAAGTATATTCTCTCTGTAGTTTTAAAGACCCACACTAATTGCCAGGATGAATAAACTTCTTTTTGTGTAAAATAGCCAAACACTGCTCACTTTGTTTTGTCCAACCCGCTTTATGAAACAGAGAATAAATTAACCTTGGCCAAATCTATTGTAACCACAATCTATTGCATGTTGCATCTATAAAGTATAGTTCAAAGAGTAGTTCTAAAGTATCGTAAATAGTTGATAGTAAATATTGTAAATAGACTCTTTCAGGGCCGGTTCTATCCCCTTGGTTGCCCTAGGCGAGATTGATTTTAGATTTTTTTTTTTTTTTTGGTACATTTAAGCATAATTTATTTTTCGACTTATTTGTTGGCCAGTTGTGGTCTGTGGAATATCAAATATTAAAAGTTCTAAACCTAAACCTAAAATTGTAGGCCTATTATGTACAGTATGTATGTTATGTATTTGTTCTACTATAGTAATGATAATTTTTAAAATAATATATTGCATTTTATTGGTGTCTCCCACATTGTCCCACAGCAACATTACAAAAGTGTAGATAAGTGTACAATGTTTTATAATAATCATTTATTCTATAGTGTCCAATCCATTTAATCAATTTAACATATTTAATACTTTGTACATGGGTACATCCAAGTTATTTGACATTGGCCTATTTTAACTTTTTTTTTTTTTTAAGTAACGGAATAGGTACTTTCCCTGATAATTAGTTACTTTTATAATGATTTAATTCAGTTACTATTTGTGAGAAGTAACTAGTAACTGTAACTAATTACTTAACATTCAAGTTAACATTCAACTAATTACTTACAGTAACATGCCCAAAAGTCAAGTCAAGTCAAGTCACATTTATTTATATAGCGCTTTTCACAATACAGATTGTATCAAAGCAGCTTCACAGTGATAACATGAAAGTAGCACAACACAGATCAACAACATTGCTAAACACTAAATAACCCCAACTGAGCAAGCTCAAAGCAAGCCAAAAGCAAGGCGACAGTGGCAAGGAACCAAACTCCATCAGATTGGATGGAGAAAAAACCTTGGGAGAACCCAGGCTCAGTCGGGGGCCAGTTCTCCTCTGGCTTACATTCATATTGTTTAAATATAAATATTAAATATAAATATTGTTTATGAATCAAACGGCGCCATAGCATATCGCAGGCGTTGAGTCGTCTCATCACAGGCGTTGAGTCGTCTCATCACAGGCGTTGGGGCATCCGAAATCCCCGTGAGAGGCTGGACACAAAACTGGACCTGACGAACGCCATTTTTCTCGGGACAAGCGTCCCGAGATAACAGCAGAAAGGCAGATGGGAAATAATTAGCATAGCTGATGTTCATAATGATTTCCGTTATAACTCACAAACTCTCCGTAACCCGAACTCTCCGCAACCCAACCATACGCGCCGACCCGTTTGTCTAAAAGGCTGTCGAGCCCCACTGGTGCGTTAAGCAGTTTCAGTGGCAAACGGTTCCGTATGGCATAAACAGTTTTTTACCAAAACTGATGAGTATTTATTAAACTAAACAAAAATGCTCTTATAATCACTCCAAAACTTCAACAAGTTGAAGGATCTGTAATAAATTGTTCATACAAATGCTATAAATAATGTTCAAGGATATTTCTATCATCCTACATAGTTGCATTGTTTTATCTGTGTAATAATGTAACTTGTTGTAGATAAATTACAATTATTACCTTGCTGCTACAACTAAGGGGGGTTCGGAGTCCCCGTAAGAAAATTATGTGCATTTTAATGTTTATTTAAATGTTAAATTCATCAATCTGGTGCAATTCAGTATGCAAATTGAACAAATAAAATTTCAAACCTCTATTAGTTACAGTGTCTGTCTACATTACACTACTACATATAGGCTATATTGTAAAACAAATGCAATGGAAAATAAAAGAAACTTTAATAATTAGTTTTGTATAAAATTTTTATACTTGTAAGTAAGCTATAGACTTGGAAGCAACTCAACGGCGCCAATTAAGCAAAACAAAACGAATGGGCTGCCGATGTGCGAGTTTTATGGGCTGTTAAGACAAATAAATAAATAAAAGTAGGCTATGAGATGTATCGGCCCAAAAAGCACGTCGGTCACCGGGAATCTCAAGCAGGCTACACCGTGAAGTAGCTACATTTATTTCGTTTGACACTTTAATGGCTGAGATGAGAAGGCTTACCTTTATACTGGAGTTTCCTTTTATTTTGTTGCTTTTTCTGTGTCCGTCCCTGTGGTTTATTTATACCGCTTCATTTTCGATCAACGTGACAGCAGCTGAACGCAAGCACTTGCCTAACGTAACGTAACGCAACCCCCTGGAAAAGATCGCCAATAATCATCAATGGGCTTTATGCACAGCTGCACAACTTCCTGAACTTCAGCCAGCTCCTTGTTTCCTGTCTGCCATTATTGGTCAAATTGATTAATTCAGGTGTGCTTGACCTCAGTAGTCATGGCAACAATAATCAGACACACCTGAATTAATCAATTTGGCCAATAATGGCAGACAGGAAACAAGGAGCTGGCTGAAGTTCAGGAAGTAGTGCAGCTGGGCATAAAGCCAATTCAATCTAATAATCAGTAATTAAAGGGATAGTTCACTTTGAAATTAATTTTTGATATGTTTTAGCTTACCTCAAGGGGATCCAAGATGTAGGTGTCTTTGTTTCCACAGCATTTTCAATTTTGACATTTTTTGGTCAAACCGTTGTTGTCTGTCAGTCATACACTGGAGGTGAAGGGGGTCTTCAATCGGTTCACCTCAAAGATCATGCACAGAGAAGTCAAAATTAAACATGATTTAATGACTCGTACATGTAAGTACACATTGATGGCCTAAGACACCAAACGAGCGGTTTGTGTGAGAAAACGAACAGTATTTATATCGTTTTACCTCTTGTAATCATAGCCATGACAAAATGATCTGACGGCACGGGCGCTTCGGTCTGCGCATGCGCTGGCAGTGATCGCTTGTGCGCCTACGTCACTCTTTGTTTATACAGAGATTTCGGAAGTTTCACCTTTCACTAAGCATATTTAGATATACGGGAAACCTCAATGGAAGACGATTTCGGTACATCTAAATATGTTTAGTAAAAGGTAAAACTTCCGAAATCTCCGGGTAAATATCGACTGACTTTACACGCAAGCGGTCACTTCTGGCGTAACATTGAACTGATTCAGTTCGGTTCAGTTGGACATTGAACAACTGATTCAGATCACTTGGATTACACGAGGTAAAAACGATATAAATACTGTTAGTTTTTTCACAAAAACCGCTCGTTTCGTGTCTTAGGCCATCAATGTGTACTTACATTTACGAGTCATTAAATCATGTTTAATTTTGACTTCTCTGTGCATGCTTTTTGGTGGACCCCCTTAGCCTCCAGTGTATGACTGATAGACAACAACGGTTTGACTGAAAAATGTCAAAATTGAAAATATTGTGGAAACAAAGACAACTGCATCTTGGATGCCCTTGAGGTAAGCTAAAACATATCCAAAAATTAATTTCAAAGTGAACTATCCCTTTAAGTAATTAAACGTGTGGCTGAGGGGCGCCTTAGGATGATCATGTTTAATAAACATTTTTCTTTTCGCTTCTCATTCTAACTCTGTGATTTCTCGATTAATGTGGAGTCGCAGAGAATGTGAAGTACGTCAAGGGCGACATTAGAGCGCGCGCCCGCGGCGCCCCCCACACATTTGGCGCCCTAGGCAACCGCCTAGTTCGCCTATAGCAATCGCCGGCCCTGGACTCTTTGATAGTTTGTGCAGTGGCCTGAGACTCTGTTGACACTAAAATGTGTGTTTCTTTTCAGGGTTAAGTTCGCCGGCTACAAAGTGAGTAGACCTCGTGGAGAGCTCGGCCGATACATGTCTATACCACACCACCACAGAGGAGAAGTGCAGTTTCTGGGCAGGTACGTTCAGACAGGCCTTTTCTAAATCTCTGAAGTCTCCATGTAGTCCTCCAATCAGAGTCTCATCTCCCATTCCCTTTAAAAGCCAGTTGCCCTCACGCCATGACGGATTTGCTATTTACAAGGCAGAATTTGTAAGCTGAAACGGATCTGCTCGTGCGTGCGTTGTTGACCCACCTATAGGCGCTCATTAATAACACACTCTTTAAATAACAAAAATAATATTGTTGACTTTAGAGCAGGTTTCAGTTGGTCAATGGCTCAGTCTACTTCATAAGACTTATGCACATTATCTCCTTTTGCTTTTCAGATACAAGTTGCTTCGTAGATCCAAGGAAAGACAGAGTCTGGATGGCCTGAATAACTTGAATTACTCCCCCCTAGTGACCCGGAGGAATCTTTACACGAATGTGTCAGTGACGCTCAGTCGAGACCTGGCGCCCATCGCTGACTACTGACTTCACACGCGGGACGGCAGGAGAGACACATGCCACACCACTTTATCCATTTAAGTTATTTTTTAGGAAAGGGGGTGATTCCACAGATCCTCATGTGTTTTCTTTTTACATTTACTTCATTTTTTTATTTTTTATTTTCAACCAAAATTTTTTTTTGTTAATTTCACCACCTTTTATTTGTTCTTTGTCACTCATCCACTGTCTGTCTATCATGGAAATTGATCTGTTCTGGAATCCAAAACCCCATCAGCTAGTTTCGCCTCGTCTTCTAATCAGACTTCTCCTGGGGGGTCACATGTTTACTGCAGGAACGAGAGAAGTTATGGGACAGGTCGATGGCAGGTATGCTAAACCGCTTCAGAATAGCCATTGCAGGGTTTGGGGCCTATGCCCTTTCCTCTGCCAGAAACAAACACAGCTGGTTCTGTGTGTTATATAAAACTAATAATTAAATTCAAACAAAAAAAAATTATATTAAATGTATAATAAGCAAGCATGCACTGATACTCACAGTAGATGCTACTAACATCACACGTTTGTGTGGAAACGAACACCTCACGTAGTCCTTTTAGCTGTACAATATAAACATGCTTATTATCGGGAAACGCATACAACAAATATTATGATTCTTGACATTATGACGCCATGACATGGCTTGACAATCACAGTTTTCTTTCATGTGTTGATGTATTCCACTAAAACAAGAAGTTGGGGCGTATCAAATGCCTTATACAAACACAAATAGCCAGCAGCTTTTAGTATATCTCACAGATGGTATTAGAGAGAGGGACATTTGATTAAACAAAAAACGGCATGGCCATTAACGCGCAAGATCATCATTAGTTTTGCCATTTTAAGGCATTTATCACAAGTGAATTTGCTCACCTCTCAGGAGTACACCAGCATTTCAGAGCAAATAGACATGGGCCAAAAGCCAAACAATGGGATCATTAACAAACCCAAGCCGCACACATGCCAGCAGAATGTGCTTTCGCCTGAGCGATCAGGTATTTCGCTCTGTACACTGGGATAATATGTTCATGGGTGGTAGATAAGAACCAGCTGACTGGATAGTTTCAGAATTCGTCAAGCTGTACTTATGTGGGTCTGCAAGCCGTTTGAAATAGTTGGATTGTCTGACGAACAAACATTTTGTGGTTTGTGCTCCCAGAGGGGTTTCGCTTTAGTTCCTGCTTGCATTGTGTAGATATTTCAAGAGTGTTTCCCACACACTGCCTTTCACAAACACATTGACATGCATTTGGAGAAATATGCACTGCCTCTCTATGTGTGTGTACTCACCTCATATTGACACAAAGGGTGTGTGAGGGAATACAACTCTGTTCCGCTATTAAGTTTTACAAAAGCCAACAATTGATATTGCTCAGTTCTGAGTGTTATACCGGTTAATCTCTTGAGCTAAACTTTTTGGCTGAACAAGCCAGTTTATTAGACCAAACACTCTCACTTCAGGCCTCCTTCATGAAACACGAGAATGGTTTTTGGTCTAAATCATTAATGAAACTATTTTTGCACAAGTTTTTATATTTATCCGTCAGGTTGCTTTCAAGAATCAGGAATTTGTGTGCGAACCGTTCAAATATACGCTGCGTTCATGAAAGCAGACTCAGTTTTTGCTTTATCATTCACATATAGAAAAACATTATTCAATTTATCACCTTAATGGAAATTACATTCTGAACAATTTGCACATAAATGTGTTTCGTACGATTCTGAAACATGATGTCCGCGTCAATCATTTATGAATCATGAACGAGGCCCTTCATTCCATCACACTAGTATATTCCCAATACAATGTGTTTATGTCGTTTAGAGATCAAGAGGCTTTGTAGCTAATGCGTATTTGTGAGCGCGTGTTTGTGTGTATTCATCAAGTCATAGAGGCTGGCCCTCATATTTATTCATTCATTTATGAACATTTTATTTTTTTTTTAGTTAATTGTTTTACTGTAATTGTGATTATTTTGAGGGAAACAGATCGATAAGATAACTGTGATGTAAAAACAAGCACTGAAATTTGTTTCTTATGTGAGGCTAAGTCTTTTGCTGTTAACCTGAATGGACGGCTGTTTCGTATGAAGACACGAGAGGAGGAGACGGTTAGAGAGACGTTCTTGAGTGCACATATAACCGATGGTGCTGATCTCACGGACATTAGTATTGTGCTACTTCTGTCTTGTAACAGATAATTATACGGGATTGAAACTAATGACCCTCATTGACCATGTCGGCAGCATAAGCTATCCATGTAGCATGTTTAGCGCTCCAAGCACTTCTCTCTAATGTTTGTTTCTCTCCGTGTTTGACGCTCGTGGAGTTCTGCGCCAATGATTGAGGTCTTTTTACCTCGTATAAAAGCGAACAATTAATACTCTTACACTGTGTCCATGTAATAACCAAGCAATCAACTAAATGTCCTGTCACTTGTCAAATTTGGTTTAAAAAGAAGAAGAAAAAATGCATGGAAGGAAAAAAAAACTTTACACAGAAGAGTCATTTGTAGCTGAGTTGTACAGTATATCTAAATACAGAAGTAAAGTCATGCTCCGTTTTGATTCGCAGGTGTTTAGCCTGTATGGGAATGTCAGGTAATGCACTGGCCAGTACCTCTGCTTTACTACAGATTTTTGTTTACAGTGTAGGACACAGTTATAAGCTCAAAATCCCTATTAATGTATTGCTAATGGAATATTTTGGAATCAAATGCTGCGTTCACGCTGTGTCGTAATTGCCAACGCTATCTCGTGACAAATTTGTACGAATTCGTACGAGTGAGTAGTAAAAGGTGGCTGGTTCGTACAAATTTGCTTAAAGCTCACGTGACGGTTTGGTTTAGGAGCGGGGTCTGGTGTAGGTCATTCATTCGAATTCATACGAATTTGCTGATTCGTAAAATATGTACGATTTAGCCAAAATCATACGAATTCGTAAACAAGTGAGGTCAAATGAATTTGTACGAATTAGCCACCTCGTAAAATTTGTACAAATTGCTGTGAGATCGGATTTACCGTCATTTCGAGATGACAACCCGTCTACTCTGAGCTGTTAACACCTGGAAATTATGAGTTTCTATTGCAACACTATCAATGTGTAAATGAACCTACAGCAGTCAGGTGGTACAAGCAGGAGCTCTGCTAAACAAGTTGTAGGCTTGAATGCTTTTGCACAATAGTTTGTGACATGGCGTGAACGCACCTCATCGTCAAATAGTAATTCACAACGAATCATATATGGATTTGAACATTCCCAAATATTTCAATAGATTTGTTTTTTTTTTTTACAGGATTTCAACAGTATTTGATTCCCTGGTTCCAAAGTATGATTAGCATTCATTATGTGTTTCCATTTCATTATATTTAGTGTGAGGAATATCAAAAGTTTCTTGCAGCTGCTGGGTTGATTTAACTTCCACATTAAAGAAAATGCAATACTGGTCTTGAATCAGAGATAGGGCGCTCAAGGTCCCGTCATTGGCACACTCCTCTATATCACCCATTCAGCTCCAGTTGAAATGACAGGGACGGCACTAACCCGTACCTTGAACAACTGGCTGCCTTAACACCTGTTAATTTATTCAATGTTATCATGTTTTTATTTTTTTATAAGCAAATATATTTAAATATGTTAATGTGTTTTTTTTCACTTGTGCATATTGTGTAGTGTGTTTAGGAGCATAAGGTGTCATATAAAGGAACTAAAAAGATTGATTTACTATTAAGAAAGTTTGGTGCCATTTACCTCTGTGAATGCCATGTATTTTCTATTCACTCCAACATTTCTTTCTTTTTTTATCATACCAGGCCTTAAATACTGTTTCAGGATTATGTGTGATGATGAAGATGCTCCTCTTATAACATTATCATGTTTATGTCTTTCTGAAAGGTCTTTTGTTGGCCAAACCACTGCATCAATCTCAAAATGAAAAACATTTAACATTATTTGTATAATATCAAGACAATTGAAATGTTATGAGAAGATAAGATGCTGTCGTCCATTATAAGGAGATTCGGTCTCTTTGAAGTGAAGCCATCTGCCACTCGTACAACACATCTCGGCCTTAGTGTTTGTGTATGAACTTATCTTTGAGTAGAGACACTTTCTTTGACGTCTTTTTTTGCTATTATCATTGTTGAAATGACTGAAGTACACCAATAAAATAGCTTGTTGTTTTAGTCCTTGGTATGCTTGAGTGATTGAGTCACTTGTCTTTCATTGCACACAATGTCTTTCTTTGCATTATACCTACAAGTGATCAACACTAAGAGACATCTGCACTCAAGGACAGTAATGCTCGGAGGACTCACTTTTAACCTTATAAAGCCCCCTTTAATGTAAATGTTACAGGATATTCAATGAGAAACAAGTAATGGAACAGGTGTTTGGGGTTGCAAAGTAAAGATGGCTCAGTGACTTCTTAATTAATAGTCCATTTTTATTTCATGCTTATGTTTTAACTGAAGTGCGCTGAACTTTCCATTCACATATCATCCAGCCCCATTTGCCTTTTCATCATACGCTAAACCGAAACAGAATTGGCATTTTTGTATGTCCTCCCTTAAAAATAACGCTCCCCATGTTTAGCACTCATCTGCTTCTTTTCAACAGACAGCTGCTGAGACTCAACGAGCAGCAGGAATACAAAGATGGTGATTGTGTCAAAGAGGAAGCAGTGTGAATGAATTCAATACAAAGGAATGGCAGCTCTAAATGGATCGCTTATGTTGGGAACAGATAAGAAATTGAAACAGCATATTTAGAGCTTGATGGGATGTGGCCGTTGGTGCATGTACTGTATCCAGAGGCGGACAGAGTACACAGCTTTATTACTTGAGTAAAAGTACAGATACCCCTTGCTAAATTTTACTCAAGTACAAGTAAAAGTACTACAGTCAGATGTCTACTTAAAGCTATTCTGTGTAACTCTTTTAGTTTATTCTTAGCTAAAAACACTTAGTTCTTTCAAAAATATGTGTGCTCATTAATTTATATTTACTTCGTTCAAGTAATAAAGTATTCTCATAAGTGTATAATATGCCTTTGAAAATACATACGGGTAAGCGGTCCTAATGTCGGTCGCCATGTTGACCCTCCATCTTGAAAGTACATTAGCCAAAGAGGGACATACCCGTTAATTAAAGCTTCGCCTTTTGCGTTTACGTTTCGGTCAACACTCATGGACGAGGTCGAACTGGAAGCCATGTTAATCTTGGACTACATTGGCCACCGTAGGAGTTGAAACGAAATCGGAATTGAGAGGAACAGAAACTAATATTCACTGGATGGTCATATACCTTTTCACAGCTAGATGGAGGTAAAAATCACACAGTGTAGCTTTAAAGCTACACTGTGGAGCTTTTCAACCTTTATAATATATTACCAAAACCCATTGAGATGGTACATCGGCTTACAATAGGTTGAATGACACATCTGCCGTAGCCTGAAGGTGTCTGTATCGCTTTTACTAACACTTTGTACTTGTAACTTAGCACAAAAAGAACTACATTAATCGACCGCTTTCCGGCATAAGACACTTCCCCCACCACCCCAAACTTCCTCAGATTCGGACGTTAGTGCTCAACTCGCGTTTGATTGCCGTCTGTATGTTTTTCGTCATGGCAGAACAACAGCTACAAGGAAGAAGGCAACGGTTTTATCAGAGGAAACTAAAGAAAAGGGGAGAGTGACAAATTAAAAGCCAAGATGAGGATTAACACTGGTCCAGCTTTCGCTTCGCTCACTGGCGTGAGCAGCAGAAGGGTGCTCGACCTTGTCAGCAGAATCACTGAACGACAGAAAAACACAAGAACTACTTCCAGCCACAGCCTTAGATGAAATCAACTGAAGATAAAATACACAAAATCTCTCAAGATCTGATTAAACAACTCAATGAACAGCATTACCAGCTTCACTTTTTATTACTAACCAGGTTGACTTTATTTCTGTCAGACGTCTACAGAAGATGTTGTTGATTTATTGAAAATAATAGTTTGTTTGATGCCACCATTATGGTGATCAGCGTTTGTTTTAGTTGGGCTCTGGACTTTTTAATATTAGTTTTTCTCTGGCAGCTGTATCTCTATCCCCAGATTGTGATTAAAGCACAGAGGAGATAGAGCCTTTGCCATTGCTGGCCTTACGCTGTGGAACAACCTTCTGGCGTATATCACATGGGCACAGTCCTTAACTGTTTTTAAATCGTCTCTTAAAACCAATTTTTCTCCATTGGCTTTCAATTCACTGTGAGCTTCTATCTTAAATGTGTGGTTTGCCCTTTGTTTCTCCATTTTCTGTGTTGTTCAGCACTTTGGTCAGCTGTGTTTGCTGTTTTTAAATGTGCTAAATAAAACAAACTTGAAACTTTGACACTCTTTTTTGAGCCTCAAGTTTGTCCACTGCCTCCACAGATCTCCCAGAGCGAAGGCTTCAGCATAACGACCCTCTATTGCAAGATGAAGCCTAAGTAGACTCTAAACTAAGGACCGCTTACCAAGGAGGCTCACAAATGAGCCTGACAACTCGATACTGCTATTCAAACACAGCTCTTGGTAGCAGATGCCTTAGCAGGACGCCTCTATAGAGCGAGAGGACGCCTAACAACACTTGAGTCCTGTAGGTGCCTTACTATAGACGAATCCGACGAGCGTTCTGTGTAGGCTGCCATCTTGTGGCGACGCCATTACTGAGCTGTTACACCTTATAGACATATGCACCGGTATGTAAACAAACCTCGGTGATAACGTGAACGCACCCTCGATGACAGCTACAGCCAGGCAGAATGACTTGTTGGGTTGATGATGTTAGACAGCGGCCTCCAGTCACAGATGAAGGTACAAACGATCTTACAGATTATTTATGAAAATAGCTTGGCAAGCTAGCTAGGCTAACGTTTGCTAACGAGGAAACTATAAAAAATATCTGTCCATTTGGCAACAATAAATAAATAAATGAATGAAATCAAATAAACAAATTCATGTTTTTCATTTGTGTCCATATTTATCTCATTTTCACATTGCAACGGGCAAGGGTAAGGTAACGTTACAGCTAGAAAGTATACATAATATCGACCAATTAGTGTTTTTAAGCCATGGAAAGAGGTCAATTTAACAGCAGGAGAACAATTATGTCACATCCCAGACAGCAAACTGACATTGAATCAACGTGGAAACGACGTCTCTCATGACATTGAAACAATGTTGATTTGCTCATCGAATTAACGTTGAACCAACGTCAGACGCGGCATTCTTCAAAGCTAAATGAAATCGAAAATTGGTTTGCTTTCATAACGTTGAAACAACGCGTTGATTTCAAGTTGATTTTCCGTTAGTTTTGAAAGAATGACGCATCTGACGTTGGTTCAACGTTAATTCGATGAGCAAAACAATGTCAGATCAACGTTGTTTCGATGTCATATTTCCACGTTGATTCAATGTCAGTTTGCTATCTGGGATAACATTACATTTAGCTCAGGAAAGCCATTTAATGACCATAGCATGTTAATTGAATAGAAAAAAATAGCAAGAGAGGAGATTTTGCTGATCACTATATCACATATTTATTACTTTTTTTTTTACTTATATCATTAAATAATTGTTATTATACGCGAATGTCCGTGTCTTGTACTTGCCCAGGAAATCTGTGTAAACCGTACGGCACCAGACAGGGGCAGTCGACAGTATTCACAATGTTTTCTCTTCAAAATTGAAATTTTACTGCCACCATTGAAACAATTTATAACGGAAACTGTTTACCCACTCGACATTATACAAGGGGTCACGTTGTAACGTTAGTGAGTGACAGTCGTAAATCGCGGGCTGTTTATTCCAGTGGACGCAAGTTGCAACTAAAACAATAGGAGGCAATGGCGCAATGCTACCCAGCAACAGCTCAGTAATGGCGCCCGCTTACTTCCGGTAGTTTCACCGGATTCGTCTATAAATAAGGGTTTTCAAACTGGGGTGAAAAATCCCCTTTCTGTCAGGTTCTCGAGTTTGAAAGAGCATGACCCAGGGACTGAAAGACCCTGCTTCAAGACCTGACCAGAGGGGAAAAAAACAGAGGAACCAGAGGAAAAAAACATCCTGTTGTAGGCACCTTCAAACACCCACAAAGGTACCTACAAATAGGAAGGGTTCGCAAACTAGGGGCAAATAAACGCTTCATGTCGGGTTCCAGAGATCGCCACCATGAGCCCTGCAATTGTGCAGGGCAGCAGAGGGGGCAGATCTAAAAAAAATAACACCTGTCTTCACTCTCTCTGCATCTAATTCCACAGAATTAGGCCTCATATCTTTGTAATAGCAGATCAGATAGCAGCTCTGCCCACCAGCTTGGCTGAGTGATTGTCTTCACACGTACATGGATCCTAAAGACAAAAGTTGTTGTGTAGGCTACTACAGGGGCCCTTTTATTCTCTGGTCGTACCGGTACTGTCATCACGTTATTGTCGAGTTTAGACAAGTGCTTCGGACACTGGTCATGCCGGAGGCGTTTCACAAAACGTCATAGGATGCAGTGCAAGTTCCTATTCAAAAGAGAACACACAATCATTCAGGCCAGGGTTAGGTGTGTGTGTGTGTGTGTGTGTGTGTGTGTGTGCTCAATAAAATTATAGCTTTTAATGACAGAAAAGCCCACTTATTTGTTTGTATTTTTTTGTCCTTTTATCCAACACACACTGCTATGACCTTGGTATAATAGTGGGTGTTTTTACAGAGCAGCTCAGGGACAGATTGTATCTGTCTCTGAGGCCAAAACACTACAAACAATGCATGAAAAATGAAAAATATACAAAGTGTGTTTGTCTACATTCATGTTATCTGTTTTCCTCACAATGCAATATGTATGAATATTTAAACCAGAAGATATAATCACGTTCATCATGAAATGTAGAAAAATAAAAAAATAGTATGGGTCAAACAGATGCTTGTGTCTGTATTATCGTATAATATAATGTTCACCCAGTATAAAATAAAATGGGTTGGAATATGGATCGTATATGGATATGAATGTCAAATATTTATTTGTGTATAGCATAACATTTGATCATTAATACGGTGAACATCAAATATTTCTCTGGAATAGATACTTCAGTATGATGACAGTATTAGCCACTTTATTTATACTTGCAAACAATTTAACCTACACGACCGGTGCTATTTTCATATCTCGCACA